TAAGTAAAATGCAAAAACCAAAAACAGGAAGGCTGAATTGGTGATAAGAAAGAAGTTCTCATATCATAAACAATCAATAAACCTTTATTGAGTGCTCAGACTGTGGAAAAGAATGTATTAGTATTAAGCCAGGATAAGAAGGCCCTAACAGAACACCTGCTAGAATTCAAAACAGGGGTCTGGGGATGTAGCTCAGTGGTACAGCACTTGCCTAGCCTATGGGAGAGCTTGAGTTCAATTCCCAGCACTGGGGGGAAAGTCCCTTAGTCAAAACAGGCAATGATTAATTATGTGTGGACCCTAAAATTCCTGTATACTCCCAGGTAGCAATACCAACAGTACCTTTCGATTGGATAGTACCTTTCTAATTATTTCATTTCATCCCCCATACTCCTGGCTAGATGAATGTTATTATTTATATTTTTCTGAAATGTAACTCATGCTTTCGGAGAGTAACTAGCTTTCTCACATTCATGAGACTAATGAAAAGCGAAGGTGAAACTAGAACCTAGTATTCTGCCTCCTCCTAGACTACTATTTTCTGTTCTACCAGATTGTCTCAAATTTGAAATGGAAAAAGTCCATGTCATTCTGCAGTCTTGCTCAAATGAAATGTAAGAGTACCCAAGTCAGGATGGTGATTATTCTTGGAGATGACTGAAGGGAAAAGTTAGGCCAAGTCTAGATTCAGTCTGATTCTTTGACATGGCTGCTTTAATTTTAGAATCTTCAACTTAAATAACACTTGGTAGAAAATATAGGAGTTCATCAAATACCTAAAAGTGAGTTACTTATTGTCTGCTCATCCATTTATTCAACTAATGTGTACTGCGGGCCTTCTGTGTTCCAAATATCATGTTAGGTTCTTAGAACTCAGATGAATAATACACAGTTCCAACTCTGTATCCCACATGCTGCAAAGCTAGTTCCTTAGTCTCCACTACAAAAATCTTCCCTTATTAATAAAGAACTTCTGTTTTTGCATTTGATAAAGTTTAAAGATGAAATGGATCGATACCTGATGATATCAAAACATGGAAATGACCAAGCCAGAGCTGGAAACACACCCTAAATGATCAAAGTTACAGACCTTCAAGTGGCTCAAAAAAAGTAAATGCCATCTTGGGGTCATTTTTGTTTTTTATTCATTCAAGTCTCTAAGATGACTCCTTCTCCTTTTTTTCAGTTGGATTGATATTTTATAAAGTAGGTTAAAGTCTACAGATTAATACATAAGCAGGATAGCCATTTTAAGTTTAAAACTGTTCAGCTAACTTAAAAAAACAAAATGTGGGCATTTTTTTTCCCTCACTTTGAATGATAGGTATCCATGCCCCTTAAAATTCTTCTACGATCTGTGGGCATCTTGCTTTTATCTAGACTACTGAAAAATGGTGATTTCTTAGTTTTTGTCTTTGAGATTAATGTCTGCTCTTGCATATGTAAGTGATATTTCACAAAACACAACTGATGGGGTGGGACCATAAAGCAACATTGATGGTCTCCCATTGCCTCTGGGAAGCAAGACCTCTGTTACCTTGGAAGAAAATCTAGTAGTTCCTCAGACTTTTCTGATCAGCCTTAGGTTTAATTTTAAACAATTTTTAAAGTCTACCATCATTCCTTCCACAATTGAATCTGGATTCAATTTAATAATTTAAACTCCTTTTCCATGTAATAATCAAAATTATGAGCTGCATTTATATTTTTGGCATTTCTTCACATCTGTCTCAAATGTGTTACACAGAGGGAAGTCTGAAGTTAGAGAAGCCAGAGGTCAAGAAAAGGAATGATATTATCTTCTCTTTCTTTTCATTGCATTTCTACCACTCCTCCCTCAGTTTTTATAACTCTCCAAACTAGAGTACAGGCAGAGAAAGGAAAAACAGGTCAGAGAAGTTTCCACTTGACGGATACCAAGGCTGCCCTTGGCTTCCTTTAGACTCATCAGATGTTTAAATCTGGCTCTTTCTCTCCTAGATGAAGTATTGGACTATTTTACAAACGCTACCACCCTACCATCACCACCCACACAACAACTGGGGCTCGCAAATCCAATCTCTTTCCCGGCTTGTCTGTGTAATTCCTTCTATACTCTGATGCATCTGGGAGTCCCTTTTGGTCTTCAGCTGAGGCCTCATCTTGGTCAGGTGCTAAAATAATCCCAGGCTGACATTTTCCCACACCATCTACCCAGATTTACCTGTCTACACAGGCAGCTATTTCCCAAATGTCACCATTGGCCTCTTGCTCTAATCTCTTGTCCTTTAGATTTTTCAGGAATAATTCTAACATCAGTCTTCTGTGTTTCTCCCTCTACATTCCCTCCATGAAGGGAGCACATATAAAGCTTCCTAAATTAGTCTCCCTATGTTCCTTCCTCTTGCTCTGAAGGGAAGGGGAAACACCACACCCACATGCTCTTCCCACCCACATTGGCCTGGAAGCCATCCCACAGCATGGCTTACTCCAGTAAAAGTGTCCTTAAAATCTCCTATTATTTCTATTCCCACCCCTTTCACTCTGCTTATATGTGCACCAGGCTTAAATAATTTCTACATTCCTCACTTAAAAGTTTACATCTTAGTGCCTCAGTTAAAACTTTACCCTCCTTTTACATGTAATAGACTATATATGATTAGAAACCTTCTATTTTCTTGAACTCAGGAATTCTAAGTCAAGTCTTTGTCTTTTATATTTTTGTAACCAAACTGAGTTTCTTAGAGTGATTTTAAAGATTTTTTTTTTTTGAATAATGAAGCAAATAATAATAATACCTTATTTTTTAGAAGTACAGTTCTCAAATATCTTAAAACTTAGAAAATATACTCTGACTGGATAAATGAATATAGAAAAATCTAAAAGATTGCATCTTGGGAGGTGGTAGTGGTGAACCGGTAGCTTATGAGAAATAAAGGACCCCTGGGCAAAAGGTAATAAGAGAATATGATTTTTAAAAACACCATGTGTGGTTTAATCATACTTACAATTTACATAAAGTTATATGTGCAAATATTAATTTTTTAGATTAAAAAAATAGTAAGATAGGCAAGAGCCAAGAACAGTGCCAGGAAGATAAGAAGTACTGAATGAATATTTAGCCTTTTTTGCTACCATATTCGTTTTCCTGAGAGGTCATTTATATTACTGTTAAGAAATGGAAAGTCACATTTGAAAAGCCTCTCTATCTGAAATGCCAGTATATAGTTAGAAATACTTAGGGACTATCCCTTGTGTCTTACAACAATATGACACGGTTAAGTAAGATTGGAACATTTGAAATAAAGTTTTACCAAAACATGAACTGCTAAAACAGAAACCAAACGTACGTGGCACAGCACTCTGAAAATGGTTGGGATTAAATTCAATAAGTTGTCTTCTGAGCTCAGTGACTCCAACGCCAGAAGGTCCTAAATATAAAAAGAGTCACATACAGAAATCATTAGATGTGCATATAAATAATTATGTGCTAAGGTCATTATTTCAGTCCTTTTATTGAAGAAACTTGAGAGCAAATGTTTCTTGGGGAAATTATGTAACATCCTTTCTTGTGAATTAATAAAACTCTTGGGAATTTTCTTGGTGATCCGTGGAGTAACCCACACTGCTTCAACATGCAGAAATGAGGTAAGGAATTGCAAGCACCTGTTACTCCAGTGAACTTTACCTAATGTTGGATGCTGTGAGAACTTGCTGGTCTCATTTGGGATAATCTGAGACATCCTGCCTTTCCTCTTCAAATGAACTTACTAACATATCACAGTCAGAAATCAGACTTGACAGCCATAGGTTCTGTGACTTAAAGAATTCAAGGGCACATTTCTGACTGGTAGTTAAATCAGCAAAACATGTCTAACTAGAAACAGGGCTGATTTTCTGAGCACAGAGGGCCCATGCTTAGGATACCTTACTTGCATTAATGCTCTGCTATTCTACCTTGAAATCCTAATAATTTGAACAAACAACTCTTGTGTTTTCATTTTACACTATTCCTTGCAAAGGAGATAACTGGTTCTATGACATGTTCTGCCCTGCAGGGGCCTGCCCTGCTCACAGCTGAACAGAAAATGGCAGTAAGATATAAGCTGCTAACTTTGTATAGATCTTGGTTACAAAAGCAAGACACTCAAGCTCAACATTTGCCTGGTTCTTTAGTCCCCAAAATACAGTACAGAAGACTTCAGCCACTTTTCTGGAGGAAATGGTTACAAAGTTCTTAGGGAAATCAACTTTAAGTGTTTATATTCCTAACACAGACTAATGATCCAGTTTGGGGGCATACAGAACAATGTATATTTACAGAACAACTTCTAAACAGACAGAAGAAATCTCAATTATGACTTTGTCATAATACAACTTTTTATTATGTTCATACATAATATGAACATAATAATTAGGTTTATTAGGTTCATACATGGCATAACATATTCAATTGTATATTTTCCCAAAAGCTTGCTACAATAAAGTTTTGTTTATAAACACAAATATGAAATAAGCTTTTTTTTTTTCTCTCTCCCAGTACTGGGAATTAAACCCGGAGTGCTCTACCACTCAGCTACATTTCCAGCCTTTTTATTATTATTATTATTTCATTTTTAAGATGGGATCTTCCTAAATTTCTGAGGTTGGTCTTGAACTTGCAATCGTCTTGCCTTTACCTCCTAGATCTCTGGGATTACAGGTGTGTGCCACCCACACCCTGCTGAAACAGGCTTTTTTTTTTTTAAGGAATTATATAAAGGTCTATAAGGATTTCTACTACTCACAATGCAAGACAATTAAATCTAGAAGGCAACTCCCCAATGACAAGTAGAGGCAGAGCATACTGAGACATACCCACAAGCACTATGAGGCGGTGCTTGTCTGTTAGTCGTCGCTGGTACCTCACCACCTCTTCATAAGGGGCACCCACTGCATTGTAGCAGCTGCCAGCGCAGCATGCAGTGGCATGCAGCTGGCTGAGGTGAGACTTCCTTCGACAAAGGCGCATGCTGCGGCGGAAACCAGCTGGGGAGGATGGAAACACACAGAACATGAGCTCCAGGGCAGGAGCTTCAATTCTGATGAAGCACGTAATATCTGTGATATCTGAAGTTAGAAAATAAGAAAGAATGTGAAGGGAAAATACCCAAATGTCCCATGTACTATCTAACTTGCATCCAGCATCCATTATGTGCCAGGCATTGTACTGGGTGCTGGAGCTGTGTGACCAACCAGCTCAAGCCCATCATCTCATGAAACCTATGTTAATGGAGGAAGAGACACAAAAATAGATGATAACCAAAATAAATACTTGGGGAAAATGGTAAGTAGACAGAGTGACAGGGGTGCTTTTTTAGACAATTCAAGAATCTGAAAAGTTGGCATTGAGCAGCTGTCTGGATGCAGAGATGGAGCCAGTTAAGGAAGCATCTAGGGAAAGAGCAATCCAGGCTGAAGCAACAGAAAATTAAAGGCAGAGAAAGGACTGTACTTGCAGGATTTGTGGAAGGCCAGGTAGCCTGGATAGCTGCAGGGCAGAGAGTAATTGGTAGTGTAGGAGGAAATGGGGTTGGAGAGGTAGCTGGAGGCAGATCACACAGCACGAGTTGGTGAAGTGTTGGAATGTGGTTCAAGTATAAGTCATTGGACAGTGGAGAGACAGTTTGTGACTTTATTTGATTTCTGTTTCTAAAGGATTCCTCTGATTGCTGTTGGCAGGATGCAAACTATAGAGAGTGAGTCAGCCTCAGGGAGAGCAGTCAGGCAGCTACCACTCTAGTCCAGGTAAGAGATGATAGTGGCTTGGGCCAGGGTGGACAGGCTTCTCGTTCACATTTTTCAGGTGAATACACTAGGACTCAGGTTGTCAGGACTGTGTGATCAGTGGCAAAGTTGGACCTCTTCATCTTGATTTCCAAACTCCTAGAATCCTGCTTTGTCTGCCCATTGAATCAAAGAGCTTTCTGGTACTTTCAGAGCTGTTTCTAGCAGTACAACTAGAAACCACATATGTAGTATTTATACGTATACATATCGAAAGTCATGAGATCATACCAATGCTTATGAAATGAGTTCAAACCACAGGATTCATTGCAGCCTTCCCCTTTATTTGCGACTCCCTTTTCTAACAGGAAGAACCCTGTCATTCTGATTCTCAATACATCTACTTATTACATCAGCTAAGAACATCTGTGTCAGATGGGACTAACAGTAGTGGCAGCCTGACAGAAAGTGTCAGCCCACGAGAGATGAGGTGGGCATCTTTGTAAAGGTTGTGAAGTGTTAGAGGCCAACAAATGACAACTGCCATCCTCATTTCCTCTGACATTGACCACCTGCATCAGGCCGCCCTCATCCCCTGCACAGATACCCTCCACCTTGCTCTACTCAGGCTCCTCATTCTCCATCTTCATGCTGCTTCCTAACCTGCTCTACCTTACCTAATGGCTTTGGGGCTGATGATTCTGGAAGTAGTACAGAAAGGTGTCCGCTTATTTTTTTAAAGGTCCCCCAGTGATTTCAAAGTGCATCTAGGCTTGGGAGCCAACACTCTGGTTTACAGACTGCAGCTCTGTGGTTCTCTCTCATCTTATGAAGAGGGAAGTCCAGAGTAGCTCTAAATAAGAGATACCTGGTCCCTTCAGAAAGCTCTGCGAGGTGACAAACATATAGAAATGTGACCATAAAAGGAGAGTTTAGTAATTAGAGAACTGGTCTCTTCAGAAGGATAAATAGGTTGTGGAACAGACTTGGAGACAATGAAAAGAAGTATGTTTCATAAATAATTAGGAGATACCTAGTGGAAATTAGAAGACTAACAATGAATAATTAATAGATCAGAGCACTGAGAAGAAAAAGTAGACAGATGGAAAACAGGACAAGGAACAATTTTGGAAATGTCCACCAGCAAAAGAAACTTTCAGCAGAACATCAGGCTGATATGAATACCACTTCAAAATGATTAAGACTCACCTCTTATTAATCATCACTTACCAATAAAGAACTTTTGACCAGAGCCAATAAATTCCTCCTTGTCTGGGACATGGAATGGCAAGAACAGAATATGAGGACAAAGAGAAGTTTACTTAGAACCAATGCATGAAATCATCTTCAGATTGTCAAGTGACGTCGTTTTATTAGGTGGCAGCACAGTTGACTTGATTCTTGAGTGGCTTTCTAAGATTGTTCTCAGCAATTTCCATCCTTTTATTCTCACTCAATAAACTATAGAAAAACATTCTTCAGAACTTCCGTATTATACTGAACTATTTTTATAGTATGGTTAAAAAAAAATTAGGCTTGTTTAAAGATATAAGAAAAGAGATGGAGCCATAGTAAAAACATAAAAGCTGGGTATTCGTTTTTGAACATGTACTAAGAAAACTGATTTTGAAAAAGAAAGAAACTGGCTTTTGTCTTTAACTTGCTGATACAGTGTTCTTCCAGGTCCTAAATATGAGCTTTTATTTTCCATCTTAAATAATATTCTATATAAAATTGGTCCTTGCTCTATGATGATCACTTGTTTTCTTATTGCCAAGAAGCTATAAGACTAAGTGAGGAAAATTGTGCCTGGGACCTGTAGCATATAGAACTAGTTCAGAAACCTGTTTCTGCTTCCTCTGAGTCCTTGGACAAACTTATAAACTCCATAAAAAATGTTCTAAAAATGTCATTTCCAAATTATTTGTACTTAAATTTCTTGTCATCTATTCAACTCTGCTTTGCTCATTAAATAACATATAAAAAACATTTGTTCATAGGATGAACTGACATATACAGCCTTCTTTTTCTTAATCTTTATTTTTAAAAATTTTTTTAAAATACACATTTTAAAAAACAAAAAAGACATACCAATATCAGTTACATCTGTTGGTAAGTACATTTTTCATCTCAATAAGTTTAAAAAACAATGTCTACTAAGGGATAGTTTAATAAAAAAATGCTTAATTACTTCCATCATTTATATTTATTTACTTGTTTGCAATACTGGAAATACCAGGGCCTTGCTAATGTTAGGTAAGTGCTCTAATCATCATTCTTTTTGAAATTGAGTATTTTATCATTGATTTCACCTTTAACATATCATTTCCTCATCCTAGAAGTTATTCTGTCGATTATTCACTTTGTGGCACACTGAAAGACTTTAAACAGAGTTCTGTCTAGTGTGCCCAGGAAATAAAAATGAACAATTACCTTCTGAAAGTTCCTCTGGGTATTTGGTCAAGTGCAGAAAGACATGTGAAAAAGTTAAACCAAGTTAGCCATCAAATACAGGCAAATGACAGCATTCATGTCAGCATTAGCAAAAGTTTTAACTTGGGTAAGGCCTGGGACACTCATCTGACCTCACTCTACCCCTGAGGGACAACCATTTTTTCTGCAAGTTGCCTCTGAGACTCTCCATGAAGTCTTTTGATCCATGAAGACTCTGTGGGTTGGTACAAGATGAGACTTGAAAGAGACAACAACCCATTAAAGGCAATGGATTTGAGGCTTCTCTCTCCTCTCCCAGAGGCCATTTTGTGGACTTTGTGAAAGGGAGGCAAAAAAGACATGAGAGTGGGGGTGGGACAGACGCTGCCCCAACCTCTGGTCTGATCATCATCATTCCTTAGCCCTTCCTAAGTCTAATGTACTCACTTCCATCTCCAACTGGCCCCTTGGAGACAGGGGAACTGAATATGAAGCAAACTGTTTTGTTGTCTAGACATCTTTAAACAGCTGTACTTTCCTTTCTTTTTTTAAATGGCCTTCTTAATTAAATGAGCCTTCCAAAGAAATTTAAGGAAGTCACATTATACCTCATGCAGAGATCAAAACTGAAGAACCTTAACTGCTACTAAGTGAGTGACTAGATAACAGGAGTAAGTACCATGAATGAATGCCAAGGGTTATCTACTTGAAAATATGCCAGTTGAGTGCTAATTGTTCCTTAATTGAGCTCCTAATAGAGCCAGTTCAGCATGTTCTTGAGAGTTCTCTTTCAACTGAGAGGCTTTGAAAGGAGTGCTTTACACTGCATGCTTTCCTCTGAAGGGCTGGTCTTAAAAAACCAGCCACAAACTGCCCTAAAGAATAAGATTTCATAATAACACCAAACTAACCCTCATGTAACATTTACTAAGTGTGGAGGTGGTGGGTGGTGAGACACTATTCTAAGCACTTTACTTATGCAAATAATCTAATTATGGTTCCCATTATGTGTGTGAATATATGTGTTTCCAGGCCCTTGTGAACGCTAGGCAAGCACTCAGCCATTGAGCTACATCCCCTGCCCATTTGGAGATGAGGAATCTGAAGGCAGAGGGGGTAAGCACCAGAAGGTTAGCCAGAGTTAGTGAGTAATGGACCCAGGATTCATACTTGGACAATGTGACAGGAGATCATGGTCTTACCTACAATGACACACTGGCTCAGCTTTCACAGACCCTGAAAATAACTCCCCTGAGCCTCAGCCACAGCCTTAGCTGGTGGAGTATTTTCCAGCAACACAATGAGTTGGCAGAACAAAGAAGGATGGGTATAACTCAGAGGAATGAAAAACAAAACCAATCCCAAACAATGACCCAAGTATAAATAAATTAAATTATCCCCAGTAGACCAATCATCTCATGAAATACAGGAAATTTTAGAAATAATATAAATGATAACTAGGCTAATTTAAGTGAGTGGTTCCAAACTCTACCTAATTCAATGCTATCTTTTTTAAAACTAATATTTGTAACAGTCTATTTTTCTGAAATAAAATTCATAGGTGATATAATCTACCACACATGAAACTTTAAAAACCTATACAATTCTCTAACTATAATGTAAAGGAAAAACAAAAGGAAGTAATTTATATTTTAAAAGTATATATACCAAATATAAATTTATGGGCAACATCTCTAAAAGACATAGAAAACTAGTAGATGTTTATACCTACTTAAATGAAGAGGCACAGATTTAAAAGAATCAAGATCAGAAAACATTCTTTATAGGAAGTGCAGAAGAACAGAAAAGGAAAGAAGTGGACACTAGAATCAAAAGTATTCTGCCAAGTAATAACAGACCAGATTGACTTGTACATGATAAGAAAGGGAAATTGCTTTAGTTGAAATAGGGATAATATACCAAAGCAACTGGAGACCAATGAAATAGAGAAAATGAGGAAATGTAATATACTTGGAATCAGGTAAGTAATGTTAACAGGCCTCAACAGGTTGCCAGCTTTTATAAACCTCCATGTGGGACATATTTTGCTACAAATTGGGTCAACATTATTTTGCTGGATAGACCCTTGATACTTACTAGGTGTCATCAATAATAACAAGTAATGTATTAAGGAAGAAGAAAATGGATTAAGTATAGATACAATACTTTCCAATTTATTTACTATCCATGTAGTGTAGACAGAAAGTTTGGAATAAAGGACTTCATAATTTCTAAGGCAATGTCATTTTGTCTCTCTAGAGTGACCCATCTTCTGAACCACTGGGCCCTTCATGTTGACTTGTGAAAACTTATTATTGTGTAGTAAAGAGCTTTTCCATTAGATTGGTCATGGGTTTTGCCTAACAGGAAGATATGTGGGTCTTGAGTTGACCCTTCATTGTGCAGGACATTTAAAATTCTTGATCCTACTAGGTAAAGGCTGGGAGGGACCCCAATCCATGTGGTAGCCAAAAAATGCTCCCACAGAGTTCCAAAATGCCCAATTGAGGGTAATATTGACTCTAGGAGAAGCACTAGTTAAGGTAAAACTTATATCTCACAACCACATTGTTGATTTTTTAAAAATAAAACTTGTATTTTTGAGATTTACAACATGTTAAAGAATATGTACAGATAATAAAATGGTTACTATAGTGAAGCAAATTAACATGTTTGTCATCTCATATGTTTATTTTTACTCTTGTTTTATCTCTAAATATATGGCTAAATTATATTAAAATGTGGAATATATATTTAAATTCAGTACAAATTTTTCACTTACCAGATTCAAATGTTTCTTCATCTAAGGTTTTCCATGGAGGCAAAAAGCAAAATGGTTATTATATTACTATCTACACTGAGTCTATACTTTAATAATTTAATTGCCTGGCTAATGCTTTTGTGCCTATGCTACCTTTATCAAGGTCAAGTCAGTGGTATCTCTAAATCATATATAGATGTCTTAAATGAGATACGTAATATTCAGTAGTTGGGCTGTAATGACAATCAGAGGTGTAGCTGGAACTTAAATAAATAAAACACAATTTTAAAAGAGGCTCAGAGAGAAGGGAAGAGTGAAATGTCACAGAAAAACCCTATGGATAGTTGTACACTGCACCACCTTGCTTCTGGAAGACTCGCATGTGTGGGAGGGAGGCCTCTGCCTGCAGAGCTGGGGGCTGCAGGCAAGGAAAGGGAGAATGAGTATTTGAATGTCTTGACTGAGCAGGATCAGGTGACTGAGAAAGCATGAGAGAAACCAGCTTCTTCCTTCGTTAAAACAGTTCTTGTTAGCATTTTAAAAAGGGATTAAGGATTACAAAAGTAAAAATTTATATGGAGGACAATTTGAAAGATATAGTAATATTACCAATGCATATACCCTTGGCTCAGGCAATGGTACATCTTAAGTATACATGTGTGAATAACATATCTATAAAGCTATTCATTGTAATAATGCTTATAGTAGAAAATGGATACAACTCAAATATCTACAAATAAGCAATTTTTAAAAGATGATGAGATAGAATCATCTTTAAGATATATGAAGTTAACCAGGCGCTTCAGTGCACACCTATAATCCCAGCTACTTAGAAGAATTATTTCAAGTTTGAAGCCAATCTGGGCAATTTAGCAAGACCTTGTCTTATAATTAAAAATTTTAAGGAGCTGGGGCTGTAGCTCAGTGGTAGAGCGCCTGCCTTGCATGTGTGAGGCCCTGGGTTTGATCCTCAGCACTACATAAAAATAAATAAATAAAGATATTTTAAAAAAAATTTTTTTTAAGTCCTGGGGATGCAGCTCAGTGGTAGAGTACCC